GAAACCTTGATACAGGGTGTATTAAAAACAAATATACAGGGTGAACTGCAGTAGGTTTTGGTTATGTAGGAACGACAGTAGGAGCAACAAACGTAGACGATCAGAAATCATAAAATATTGGTAATTTGTTTTTCGATGTAAAATTCCACTTTGGTTTTTGGATAAAGAGGATTAATAGTTAAGGGCTCTTTTTATAAAGAATTTGAATCTTGTGAAAAACAGTCTTTGGTTAAAAACTTCCCAGGACGCCTCTTAAAATTCAACGATTCAATTGTTTTAACAGAAAGTATTAAATTTAACTGTTGAAAATTTAATTCTTCAAAAATAAACTGATTTAATAAGCTAGAAAAATGAGAATTATAATAAAATCATAACAGTGAACTTTCAACCATTACAAAGATTTAAAAATGCCAGCGGAAGTGCCCGACATTGCCCGTGTAATTAAAAACCATTTGGAGAAAATTTTCTTAAAAATTTTGAATTTTGACAAAAATGTCAGCCAATTTGGTCCAGTCGTTTGGCCAGCTATAGCTAACAATTAACATTAAAAAATCAAAACTTTTTTATTTTACAATTAAAAAACATATATTTTATATATAAACATATTTTATTGACCGTTATGACTTTTCTATAAAATATGGAAAATCATCACCTTAATCGTTTTATTATTTTTTTAAATCAAGCAATCAACCTAAAAGACAAAATTTCAACTTCAAACCAAAATTTTCAATTTTTATCGAAAATAATCATCTAACAATAATACTGCATGCATTGCAAACAAGATTCAGAATCTTTAGGAATTATGAGGGGAGGGGGGAATTCGGTTAGAACGGTGATAATACAAAAAGTGGGCTCTTTAATTTTCAGTGTTTGGAATTTACAAATCTAAAGGTGGGGGGGGGGAAGTGTGAATGTTGCCCCCCCATTATTTAAATATATGTTTAAATGAACAGGGTTAAGCTCTATCAAGTAATCAAGATATCGAGATATCAATGTCTCAGGACTGAAACAGTTGTAACGGACATCCAGATAATACTCAGATTTAATCCTGTAAAAAGTATTGAATATATTTGATTTTTAAGTCCAATTGATCAAAAATAATTAAAAATAAGGATAAAGTACTAATCAATTTAATGGTCATGCATCAGGTTTTTTATCTTCCCTTTTATCATTTGAATCAATTCTATTTTCTTGATTTTAAGGCTTTTGTTTTTTTCCCTCACCTTTTTCTTTATCTTTCTCTTCATCTTCTTATTTTGTTCATATCTTCTCAATTCTTTTTTTCACCTTTTTCTTTTTTTATGACATCTGTTATTTTCTTGTTTATCTTTCTCTTTTACTTTTCCTCTTTCTATCTTTTTTTTTTAATTGCTTGAGAACCCAGAGAACTCAAAGTTACTCCCGCCGTTTACCCGCGATTAGTCGTAAATTACGATTTTAGTTTTTTTTCCTTATAAATGTGGACCCACTCAACATGAATCTCAAAACCTAGTTAAGAACATTCCCGTGGTTCTCCCAAGTTTTCCAGCCAAAAATTGAGGCAAATCAGTGAAGGTGTTCATGAGTTATGATCCAACATACAAATAGACAAACAGAGATTACAACTTTATATATATAATTTTGTTTCACTGATCTGCAATTTCTCATTCTGCTTTTTTCTCATCTACTTCCTCTCCGTCTACTCTTCTACTACTCTCCCTTTTTATTCTCTACTTCTGGGTTTTCTACTCCTGTCTCCATTGGAGAATATGAGAGAGATAAACTGGAATTAAACCGTCCCAACTAGATCCAACAGGGATAAATACTAAAATTATTCCTAATAATTTTGTCGATTATTAGTTAGTAAAATTTGTAAAAACATATGTAATTTGTAATGTTTTAATAATCTGATAGGGTTTGATTTAATCGAAGAGGACATTTCTCCCTGTGGTGACTTTAACGGTCGGAGCAAGAAAATCTTCCAAGACAAAGCTTTTTTCTGACGTGGTTCAATTAATGATAGGGGACGTGGGGATGGGGGCGGGGAGGGAAAGGGGAGGGGTAAGATTGTGATATAGGGGTTAGACGGCGCTATTACAGATACAAAGATAAAAGGATGCATACTACTGCAGGTTTTAACCTATATAACACAAAGTAACGGAATTGAGTTTATGCAACAAGTTCTAATGTTCTAATCCTTATATGTTTCCAACATGATAGCAGATAGTGTAAACCTGTAATATTTTATTTCATTTAACAGAATTTACAGTTTTAAATATATAAGTCTACTACATTAGGTTGCAAATATATAGGATTAGAAAGTCAGAGCAAATAAAAATAATTGTTGGAGGATTAACCACTATTGTAAGAATAATTGATGAAATGAATAAGATGAATAGAAAAGTTAGGATGAAAAAATGAGATGAAATGAATAGGATGAATAGAAAAGTTAGGCTGAATAAATGAGATGAAATGAATAGGATGAATAGAAAAGTTAGGATGAAAAAATGAGATGAAATGAATAGGATGAATAGAAAAGTTAGGATGAATNTTCTGACGTGGTTCAATTAATGATAGGGGACGTGGGGATGGGGGCGGGGAGGGAAAGAGGAGGGGTAAGATTGTGATATAGGGGTTAGACGGCGCTATTACAGATACAAAGATAAAAGGATGCTAAATTTGGGGTTAAGGACAAAATTCTTGACGCTTCTTGTAGCCGAACCTTTTAGTACAAATTGTCTATCATTGAATTGGACCAAATAGGTTGACAACCTATTTGAATTGGACAATCAACATTTTCGAATACTTTTGATGGGTCCAAGGCAGGTCTAAAATATATATCTTAACCTCTCGTCTTTTTAACAAACATATAGATAAATAAATAGAATCTATCCCCCTTTGCTGTATAAATTATGCTGTCTTTCCACTTAATTATCTATCTTTCTATCCATCCACATTTTTATTCATCCTTCCATTTATTTATCTGTCCATCTATCCGACAATTTATCTATCTATCTATCCTACGATTTATCTATCTATCTATCCCGACATTAATTACAACCACTTCCGTTAAATTTTCAGCGCCTTTCACCACAATTTTTCTAAACGTTTTTCCGTCTTTTATAGGAATTTGATCAATTTAGACGTTTTTCTCTAAACTTGGACATTTAGGACAAGACTCCCAAACAGAAGGAAGGGGAATTTAACCATTTCAATATTTTTATTTATCTTTCGTTTTAAATATTAAAAAATATAATTCCCATTAAATAGGATTGAATGATGGTTTAAAAGTGTTAAATTTTTTCAGATTCAGATCCAGCAAGAATGACTGAATTTTAGGTTTCATTATTAAAAAACAATGTTAAAATATTAAAAATCATTAATTAACATAATAAAATACACATTTAATTCTAAAATGTATTGTAAGAGGAGGGTTATGTAAAAAAAGTTACTTCCTTTCAAATTATTAAACATGCCAATATTTATACGGGTCGACTAGCTTAGATATTTTTTAATCAAAATACATTTTACTGCAATTGTATTGATGGTTAAAATGGGGGAGATAAACTGTCGCAGAGAGATGTAAAAACGCAGTACACCGGTAACCATTCTAACCATTTAGGAACCAAGTTAAAGAAGACCGATAAGTTGTTGAAGACGATAGAAAATGAAGACGACATTGTAATAAGACGACAAATACGCAAGAAGTTAAGTTCCAAAAAGTGAAAAATGATCAAAAAGGATAAGTTTTTATTAAGAACGATCAATATTGATCATAAAGGATTCTTAAATAGCATTAAATCAAATTATCCAAAGGACCCCTATAGTTCAGGATTAAATCAAATTATCCAAAGGACCCCTATAGTTCAGGATTAAATCAAGAATCCCGTATAGAGTAAAATGCATAGATAAATGGTAAAATTTAACCAAGGGATCCTATAGAATAGATCAGGATTCGATCAAGGGACCCCTAGACTAAAATAAAATCAAGGGACCCCTAGATCATGATTCAATCAAGGGACACCTTGACCAGGATTAAATGAAGGGCCCCTAAAGTAGGATCAAATCAATTGGAACCCCCAAGCAGGATTTAATCAAAGGCCCCTAGAGCAGGATTAAATCAAGGGAACCCTATATCAAGGGATTCCTAGATCAGGATTAAATCAAGGGAACCCTAGATCAAGGAACCCCTAGATCAGGATTTAACCAAGGGACCCCCTAATCAGGATTAAATCAAGGGACCCCTTGATCAGGATTAAATCAAGGGACCCCTAGATCAGGATTAAATCAAGGGACCCCTAGGTAAGAAATAAATCAAGGGCCCCTAGGTCCAGGGACCTCTCTATAATGTTTATTGATTAATTTGACGGTTAGAAATGAAGCTCCAAGTATTGTAAGTCAGCTAATCAATTTTCTTCACAGATTTTTATCTAAACCTAATTATATAAATTGGGGGGAGGGGGAATAGGGGGGAAGATCTCGCATACTACTGCAGGTTTTAACCTATATAACACAAAGTAACGGAATTGAGTTTATGCAACAAGTTCTAATGTTCTAATCCTTATATGTTTCCAACTATAGGGAAGAGATATGTGAGAGAGAAGGGAATAGGTTAGAGAAGGAATAGAATATAGAAGAGATTAGGAGAAAATAGATAAAAAGATTTAAAAATAAAAATGAAATAAAAATATGTAGATTCAACATAATACAAACATGCGTAGTTACGAGGCCTTTAATCTCTTATTTGACCGCGAGCCCCCCACCCCTCGCTATTCAACCCCCTTTCCCCTTTTCTATAGGTACACACCTCCCCTTTTAACCCATGATTGATCCCCCCCCTTCCCCGTCTTATCAACCGTATGTAAAGTCTATATTAAATATTAAGTCAGGCGAATTTGGCGGGAAAACAGGGTTAAATAAATCCTCGACAGCATAAATTTAGAATTTTCTTAAATTTTTTTATTTTATCAAATGTAAAACGTGTCTTTTAAATATTTAAAAAATATTTTTTCGTTAATATTTGGGGAATATTTCCCCTAGTCTAGGGGAAAGCACTATTTTGCCTCTCTACGTTCTCTTTTAACCATTTGATCAGCTGATTTTACCGGAGAGATAACAATGACAATGTAACCTCGGCTGTCGGAGTAGAGTATAGAATGCATTTGACCGACGGACGGTAGGAGGGTCAAACCTAGTGTAATTACACTAAACGTTGAAGATCAGAGGGGTACACAGCATATTGTAAGTATTTTCATAAGACTATACGATTATTCATTGTAATGATTGTACTATTGCACGTAATTATTCTTGTGTCATTAAATTATAATGTAGATTGGATCATTATATTTGCTTGTTCTACCCGAGGAATAATTCTACCAGGAACCCTCATATCGTTATTTACATTAAAAGTGTACTGCAGGTTCTGGGTGACATAAAAAACAAAACTCGACCTGGGCAGTACATTTTTTATGCAACCAAAGATACTGGTGTTTCTAGTATTTCCCCTGGTTCTACCAACAACATTATAAAAATGACAAAATGTGTAAATGTCGTCTTATAATTCCAAGTTTATCTTGCTTAGAATGGGGTCCAGCAGAGATATCCTGAGATTGTCCCCGCAGATGTACAACGCCTTGAAGCAGGGGAACGTGAAGGAGGTGGAGGATCTGCTCAAGCAAGGGATGGATCCGGACACAACCTTCTCTGTTATGGGCGGTAAAAAGCCGGCGCTCTGCGTAGCTGCCGAGGAAGGTTGTGCTATGATTATTCAACTTCTTTGTTCCCACCATTGCTCTACCGCACAGCTGGACAAAGACGGGCTTTCTCCTCTTCACATCGCCGCGGCGAAAGGATTTGTTGAAGCAGTTCGAGTTCTGATCAAAAATCGCGCAGAGGTAAATCGTGCCGCGGCGACTAGTATTCAAGAGACCCCGCTTCTACTGGCATGTAATAATAACAACACCGGGATAATTTCTGTTCTCATTCGGGCCGGGGCGGAAGTAAACCGGTGGAATAGCAACGGTACAACGCCGTTGATGAGTGCGGCGGACCAGGGTAATGTTGAGGCGGTTAGAATGCTGGTTGAAGCGGGTGCAGATGTTCAAGCACGGGATCGGGAAGGTTGCACTCCACTGCACAGGAACGCCTTCTCTCTCCGCCCTAGACTTGAGATAGTACAGATGCTCTGTCCGAGCTCCGAGGTTTCAAACCTAGTCAACGTGCAGGGATACAATTCTTTAATGTCCATCGTATCCAACGATATGCCTGAATTCTTGAAGGTGGATATAGTGGATTATCTTATAAAAATGAACTGTAAACTTAACACAGTTAGTATAGTTGGAGCCACCGCTCTGCACCAGGCCTGCTTCCGAAAAAATTGGAATATCGTTGAGAAGTTAATCAAGGCCGGAGCTAGGACTAATATTCCATGTGTCCTAGGACGCACCACGCTCTGTGCAGTCCTGGAGAGAGGACAGTTTTCATTAGCAGAGATGATGCTGGCAGCTGGAAATCCGTCCCAGCTCAGTGAGGGTGAGAAGAGTAAACTAGGAGAAGAAGCTAGAAAGTTTCTCCAGGTTGTCAACTGTACTGTAAAGAGTTTAAAGTTCTCCTGTAGGAGCAGTATCCGGAGAGGAATAGGAGAACAGGGGCTACATCAGAAAATTGACACTATTGGTCTTCCATTAATCATAAATGAATATGTCAAAAATTTGAATCCTTTAGGTAGCTAGAGACAGACGGCTGTTTAAATTTGAAACAAGTGCTACAGTTATATTAATCAAACAAATTGATATTTTAATCTCACAAATTGATATCTAAAGTCAAAAATTGATATTTTAAACTGTTCAAACGTCGTAAATCATTGTTAATAATTGTAACTTATGCCTTCCATTCAGAACTAAGCAAAAAATTTTAACGTATCATATATTTATGTATATATATTATTTTTATTTTAAAATTATTGGAGTTAATAAAACTTATAATGTTAACTATAAAAGTTCAGATCAAGGTTGAGATTCAGTTTTATTTTATGTAAAAGGGCCTTCAATAACAAACTTTGTATCAAAAAAGGATGCACGACTTATAAGATTTTCATAATATGTGGTTTTGGTAAATCTCTGGAAGCATCCTGAAAGAAATTAGACGTTCAGAAAATCCTGGTTCATTTGGACAAATTTAAATTGAATGAGATGTTTCTTATCTCCTGTAATTTTACAAGCACAGAAAAAAACATTTTTAAAAACCAGGTCTATGGGTATTTTTAAAACCAGGTCTGTGGGTATTTTTATTACTATTCTGAAAGTAATTTCAAAGATAAAAGACGAACTTTTGGTCGTCTCTACACTTTTATGTTTTGTGAGACGCTGAGAATTAAAAGTTCTTCTTTCTAAATATTATTCAAAAATAATTTTAGATAACAAATATAGTTTTGTTATCTAACTATCGATGCTAGAGCATTTATTTTTGTCCGAAATTACTAATAGAGTGCTAAGAGATACTTCATGATAATCCTATTCGTATTTTTGTCCGAAATTACTAATAGAGTGCTTAGGGATACTTCATAATAATCCTATTCGTATTTTTGAACCAGATGTTCTTAATTTCTCTATGCTTTTTGTAAGTTCGAAATTCATTTCTTTCTAACAGTGATGCTTTTTCTAAGATAAAAATTATAATTAAAATTCAGTTAAATGGTTCGAATGCTGAATAACAAGACAACAATCAAGCAGATAAAGATCTATTAGTCAGGCATAGATCAAAAGGTTACTTTGAAATTTTTAATTAATGAAAATCGAAACAGAATCTATTCGCAACTTTAACAAATCAACCATTATTAGAAGTCTTAAAAGAGAACTCAATTTGATGAAAAGTTTCAATGTCGTCTTTTGTAGATTTTAGACAAAGATTTAGCTTATTTTGATGGCCCCTTACTTACTTTTCTTTACTTACTCAATTTGTTTAACGTTCCAATTCTTGTTAAAATTAAGAATAATTCCTACAATAAGAGTTGAGACCTATAAAACTGTGAAAAAGGAAGACGACTTTTGGACTCAAGTTATGGTTTCATGCAATAGTCCATTAAGTCCATTGACCATGAAACACAGAAATTGTTCAGCGTGAACGTTTATTTTCAAACTTAAGGTTCCCTTGTGGCTTTATGAATACATCAATATCTATATATAAATTTGGCTTGTCTGTCTGTTTGTTTGTTTGTATCCAATAAACGTCAAAAAGGCTGAACCCACGGGCCCACATTTTTTGTGGGACATCACGTGACCACAGGGAAGGTTTATGAATGATAAAAATTTGAAAAAATGTGTTTTAAAGGTAATTTTATAAAAAAGATTTTAATTTTTGAAAATCCGCGAATTTTTTTTTAAATCCGCAAAATTTTTTTCTTCTTTGTTTTAAAATGTAAACAAAAAGAACATGTTCACAATTTAAATAGAAGATTGGCGCAAAGCGCCCTAAAAGCCTAGAAAGAAGGGTGCGAAGCGCCTTGAATTTCTGGTATCTATTTATAAATTTAGCTTGTCTGTCTGTATGTTTGTTTGTGTCCAATAAACGTCAAAACGGCTCAACCGATCGGGCCCAAATTTTGTGTGGGACCTCACGTGACCCCAAGAAAGGTTTATGAATGATCAAAATTTTAAAAGTTTGTGCTTAAAAGTTTTTTGTTTTTGTAAAATTTTGAAAATGCGCGAACTTTTTGTTTTGTTTTTGTTTTATACTGCACAAAGCCATAGTACATAAAATTGCAGAAATGAGGTCTTCCAATTCCACAGTTTTAAGAGGACTGCATGTTTGTTGCGTTTAGAAAAAAATGGACTTTTTGCAGGGATTTGTAATTTGCAGTTTCATTTCTACAGAAGTGCCCTGCACATTGTACAGGATTTGTTATTAATTGAAATTACAAATAATAAATCCTTTTCTACTGAACAATGTTATATGGAAGAAAGAAAGAAGCGACATTGTACAGTTTTCTGCTTACTGATCTTGATATATTGGGACAAACTGTCTGTTCAATATTTTATTGTTATAACTGCATGTTCTACAGGGTGTCACAAGAAAAAGAGTCTAGTTATGCAGTTAAGAATGTTTTAAAAATTCAAGGTTTGTGACATTTGGTTGCAAAGATATAAGGGTTATAAATCTGAGTTTGTGGCAAAGACTCAATTCCTTTGGACCACTTTCAGAATTAGAATAAATACAATGAAGCCCAAAAATTGAGACTGAAAGGGCTGAAACAACTAATCATCTTATTTTGGGACACCCTGTATATCTCTTTCTTGGGACTAACTGTATATTCTATAACTTGTTAAAATATCTCCTGCTGATATTAGATTAGGTTTAAGCTATTAGCGCAGTTGAATTCAATCTATCCTAACAAGAAATAGAAACCATTAAACTTTATTAGAATTTTATACAATTCGGGATTTTACATTGGATGTTTAACTAAACTTTACTTTTTTAAGTAAGGTTGAAACGATGGTGCACTTTTTGTTGAAATCTACCTTGCACAAGTTCTAAAGTTTTCTTTGATATATTTGAGATTTTTTTTTATAATTTTCAAACATTAAGATTTTTGCTTTTTTGGTAAATTAAATCCCTAATGTAAACCAGAAAAAAAGCATACTTGGTGTTTGGATAAGCAGAAATATTAATTGTAGGCATGCCTGACATAGAGTTAGTTTCATACAAAACTTGACGTAATCGTTAAGCCCCATAAGAATAAAGTTAGAAACGCCTGACAAATGTTCATATATTGTCATTTTATTGTCATAATTGTTTACATGTTTACGACAAAAAAATTGCTTTAATAAAGTAAAAACCTTGAAAACATGTGAAGATGACTTTTAGACGATTGACTGAATTTTTCATTAATAATTGGAGACTACTGGAGAGTAACGGAGGGTTTTAAATCCAGAGGAGAGAAAATTACTTCTGGAGAGCTTTTAAATTTTTACCGAAATATAAATTCTACCAGAAGGTTTTTCATTCCACTGGAGTAAATGGCATTCCAAAATTGGGAGCGTTTGAGTTTTTAGTTTTACAAAGAGCAAAATTCTACTCCAGGGTTTTTTAATTCACCGGAGGGATGTTCTGCAGGGAATAGGAATAAAGGGAAAGGAAATGGCGCTAGTCTGGCATGAGAAAGCCAGTCGCACTGCTTTGCAGACAAGTTCAGTAAACCTAACACACACTCTTTTGGTACAGACACACAACATGACTACAGTCAAGGAAATTGCAGAACAATGTTGTCAATTATAAATAAGCTTGAATGACGACTAGTTTATTGTAAACTTTAATCAAATCAAATTCTTTGCATGAAAATTTGGCTTTTAGTGTTGACTTAAACATGCATATAAATACTATACTACATGTATATTTAACTTATTTTTAAGTAAACAATTTACAATAAACAAATGTACTCTCCTAGACTGTACAAATACCGAGATTCGTATGTACTGTATATACCTACAGTAAACACCTTCGGTTCGGTATTACTTTACACACACTCTTTTGGTACAGACAAACACACATGACGTTTCCGCCCCCTGATGTACTGTGTGAACTATATGGTTTGCATTTTTCCCCGTAGTGAGTTACATACAAGGTGTCCCACGAAACATGACAGTTTTAAATGTCTTCTTCCATATCCTGTATTAGATATTATAGACTTTTTGAAGTTTATCTAGGTTAAAAAAACTTTAATATATTTTACTTAGAAATCAATTTTACCACAACTAGAAATTCAAGGCGCTTCGCGCCCTTCTTTCTAGGCTTTTAGGGCGCTTCGCGCCCATCTTCTATTTAAATTGTGAACATGTTCTTTTTGTTTACATTTCAAAACAAAGATGAAAAAAATTTTGCGGATTTTAAAAAAAAAATCGCGGATTTTCAAAAATTTAAATTTTTTTACAAAATTAAAAACCTTTAAAACACAAATTTTTAAAATTTCAATCATTCATAAACCTTCCCTGGGGTCCCTAGATGTCCCACAAAAAATTTGGGCCCGATCGGTTCAGCCGTTTTGACGTTTATTGGATACAAACAGACAGACAAGCGAAATTTATATATAGATATGGATGCCATAAAATATTTATTATTATTCTCTTTGGTGACAAACAACTTAACATATTATGGAAGAAGACATTTTAAACTATTCACCAACTGTCATGTTTCTTGGGACACCCTGTATTACCGGGTTTGCTTCTATAAACATAACTGGGTAATAATATTAGTATCTGCAAGCTTTATAAAGTACACTTTTTAAGATAAAAACAATAAAATTTTCCTATTTCAATTGGCAGATTTCCGAAAGTTTAAAAAAATCTAAATTATTTCAAGGCATCACTTTTTAATTCTGACCGTCCAAAACCGTATCAGGGGTCATTTGCAGAGTTACCATATATAATTTGGACCAGATTGGTTCCGCTGTTTATTGGATACAATCAACAAATATACTCATATAATACACTTAATGATTGCTTTAATGTCGTCTTCCTTTTTTAAGAGATATCTGCTCTCACTCTCATAATTTTAAACATCTTCATGATAAAAATATATCTTCATTAAATTTTACTCTAAAGAGTTTTCTATAATTAATCTTATTTTCTTTTCAGGTTTTGATTAAACTATAGAATATTGATAAGATTTAATTTAAAACGAATAATTTTTCAACAGTCTGCAGGGGAATATTATTTAAGTGTGGCCTCGAGATCTGAAAGAGAAATTGAGAAATGATCCAAAACAATAAAAACCCTAGAAAAATTATGGCAAAATTATGAAAATTTTAAGATGTTGAGTTTTGAAAAAAAATTTATGTAATTCAGACAAAATGAAAGTAAAACCCTGGTGATTTTTTTACTTTTAAAAGTTCATAATCAAACGTTGTCAAGTCTTAATAACATGAAAGGCGGAG